TGATGCTTTACCTATTGTTGAGGCTGGGGGACATATGGTGATTTCTGAAGGTTCATTGATGCAAGAAGTATATACTTATCCAAGGACAAATTTGGAAAATACTCCTATTTCCCATAGCACTCGAATTTATAGTGGAGCTAATAACCATAACACTATTCAGGAGTTTGTAATTGAGAAAGAATATCATGTAGAGCTTCTTGGCCATATTTTTTATGACAAGGAATTAATAGTTAGATACAAAACAGATGTTGATAGCAAAAGGGTTTTCTATTCTGACTTAAATGGGTTTCAGATGAGCCGGAGAGAAACCTATGATAAGATCCCCTTGCAAGGAAACTACTACCCCATGCCTTCTCTTGCATTCATTCAAGGATCTAATGGCAAGAGGCTCTCTGTCCATTCTCGACAATCTCTAGGCGTTGCAAGCCTTAAAGATGGATGGTTAGAGATTATGCTTGATCGTCGTTTAACGAACGATGATGGACGTGGCCTAGGCCAAGGAGTAATTGATAATCGTCCAATGAATATAATTTTCCATTTTCTTATGGAATCCAATGTTTCTTCTACTTCTGATCCTATATTAAACCCCCTTCCTCTTAGTCCCTCTCTTCTTTCTCACTGTGTTGGTGCCCATTTAAATTATCCATTACATACATTCATTTCTAAAAAACCACAAGAAGTTTCCCTTCAGCCGCCTCCAAGATCCTTTTCCCCTTTAGCTTCTCCCTTACCATGTGACTTGCATATTGTGAATTTCAAGGTTCCCCGACCATCGAAATATTCTCAACAGCCAGTAGAAGATCCTAGGTTTGTTATAATTTTACAAAGAAAAAAATGGGATTCTTCCTATTTCCGAGAGTCCATATTAGGATGCACTAGCATTGTTAATGAGTCTGTAAATCTACTCTCCATCTTCAAGGACCTTACAGTGTCGAAAATAAGAACAACTTCTTTAAATCTTTTACATGATGACATGGAGATGCTTGGGTATGTTGAGCAGTCAAGAAACATCCAGGATGGACAGACTATGATTTCTCCCATGGAAATACAAGCATACAAGTTGGAGTTACAACCACATCACTAAATGTAAAATTATTTAAATTCATTAGGATTCATTTGTTGTTTGTCATAGCTTTCATTTTTTTTCTTTTTCTTCTAATAGAATTAACGTTTATGATCAAATTAGTCTCTCTTTTAGGAAAAGAGTTTAGGATATGGTGAATTTTAAAGAAGCATAGTTCACTCATAGGAGGTTAAGAATCAAGTTTGTATCCATACTATTACTTTTACTTGGAATGTATATACAATTAATTATCATTTCATGCATGTTTGAAAATTATTTTTCAAAAGTTGTATGTTTTGGCCCAGTCAATAAATATATCATTATCAATAGTGGCAAAGAACATGTTCTGGGTTGATTTTGCTGCGTATTTGATGGTGTAAAATTTCTATACATGGATAGCTTACTCCACCCAACTATTACCTTATCTATCCTACTTACTAACCCACTTCACCGAAACTACCTTACCCTGAGCGTCAAATGCAGCCTTGACTTTTTACGTATTTCTTAGTCTTAAGTACTAATTTAAACATTCAGGAACTTCAGACATTTTAAAATGATCAGTTACTAAAAAATGCAATTATAGTGTGAAAATCAATTTTCACCCTAACTGATCATAAAAATGAAATGTCCTAATTACGCATTCAGGACATGCAAGCAGATATAGAAAGTCATAGCTCAGTGGTATACCAGCTTTACATTGGAGTTGATGCCCCAGGGGACTGGTCCAATCCCATTCTGTGTTTACCATCTTGGGCTACCAAAGACAAAAAAGAGAAGCTATTATTCTCTGTCCTATAATTGTTCTCAACTGTGGTTTGAAGCATAATATCAAGGCATGAAATGGACATACTGGAATTACAAGTGGAAATATACTCTACCTAGTTAAGCAAGAAAAGGTTGAAATATGAAAGTAGATAGTAAATTTTGTGCTACTTGGACATTCTTTACATGATTACATCTCTGCACAAATTTAACCCCCTTTAGTTGTCCCAAGAAAAATCATTATCTTTGATAAGCAGAAAAACGTATGCAAGATAACTAGGGGTTTCCAATTCTGACAGGTATACTTATAAAAAGAAACTTTGTAGGGTTAACCTTCCTTCCAAGTCAGAAACACAGGTGAAAGGCTAAACTTACTGACTACTTCACACCTTCAATCTGTAATGTCAAATCCTTTATCCCAGCATCCCGTAGAATATGAGACACCTGCAACTTCGTAGAGCCATGATCACTCTCCGCTGAGACATGAACATGAAGTGTGCCAACGACATCCGTGTTCGTGAAGCTCCATACATGCAGGTTCTGAATCCCTCGTACTCCGTTTATTTTCATAATATCATTGATTGCCTCTTTCAGATCCTGCTCATAGGTCCTAGGAACTCTTTGAAGCAAAATTTCTGCAGAATTTCTGAGCAACGGAATGACTGAAGATACAATCAAAACAGAAATAAATATTGAGCAAGCAGGATCAGCAACAACCCATCCCTTGTACTTTATCAAGAGGGTTGATATAACAACTCCAATACTTCCCATGGTATCGGCCAAAACATGCAAGAATATTCCTTCCATGTTGTGGTCAATATGGTGATGATGATGCTTCTGCGGCTCCCCATGATTGGA